AACTAATTAAGCGTTGGGTTTTGTTGGGCCATCAGAAAACCCAACGCAAACGCGCTCTACCTAAATCGCGACAAGTATATAAATAAAAGTTCAAATATAATTCACCCTCCATGCTCAACAGATCGATGTCGCGATCTATCCAGCTAATCTGTTCTTAAATGACTTTGTTTCAGATAGACCAAGAAAAAGGGTTAAAGATGAGGTAATTCAATGGCTTCTGAAAAGAACATAGCAGAATCCGACGATAACAAAACGGGCTTAGAAATTAGCACTGCTATTGGCAATTTGGGCATTGCATATCATATTTTAGGTTTAAAAATAAGCACTGCTATTGGCTATCGGTCAGGAATAGCAAGTAACAATGGCAATTTGGGAAATGCCTATCTTAGTTTAGGAGAATATCAGAAAGCCATTGACCATTACAAAACAGGTTTAGAAATAAGCACTGCTATTGGCGATCGGTCAGGAATAGCAAGTAAGAATAGCAATTTGGGCATTGCATATCATGATTTAGGAGATTACCACAAAGCCATTGACCATTACAAAACAGGTTTAGAAATAAGCACTGCTATTGGCGATCGGTCAGGAATAGCAATTGACAATGGCAATTTGGGCATTGCATATCATGATTTAGGAGATTACCACAAAGCCATTGACCATTACAAAACAGGTTTAGAAATAAGCACTACTATTGGCGATCGCTCAGGAATAGCAAGAAAGCATGGTAATTTGGGCAATTCCTATCTTAGTTTAGGAGAATATCAAAAAGCCATTGACCATTACAAAACAGGTTTAGAAATAAGCACTGCTATTGGCGATCGATCAGGAATAGCAAGTAAAAATGGCAATTTGGGCTATGCCTATCTTAGTTTAGGAGAATATCAGAAAGCCATTGACCATTACAAAACAGGTTTAGAAATAAGCACTGCTATTGGCGATCGATCAGGAATAGCAAGTGAAAATGGCAATTTGGGCAATGCCTATTTTAGTTTAGGAGAATATCAGAAAGCCATTGACCATTACAAAACAGGTTTAGAAATAAGCACTGCTATTGGCCATCGCTCAGGAATAGCAAGAAAGCATGGTAATTTGGGCAATTCCTATCTTAGTTTAGGAGAATATAAAAAAGCCATTGACCATTACAAAACAGGTTTAGAAATAAGCACTGCTATTGGCGATCGGTCAGGAATAGCAACTAGCAATGGCAATTTGGGCATTGCATATCATGGTTTAGGAGAATATCACAAAGCCATTGACCATTACAAAACAGGTTTAGATATAAGCACTGATATTGGCGATCGGTCAGGAATAGCAAGTGAAAATGGCAGTTTGGGCAATGCCTATCTTAGTTTAGGAGAATATCAGAAAGCCATTGACCATTACAAAACAGGTTTAGAAATAAGCACTGCTATTGGCGATCGGTCAGGAATAGCAAGTAACAATGGCAATTTGGGCAATGCCTATCTTAGTTTAGGAGAATATCAGAAAGCCATTGACCACTACAAAACAGGTTTAGAAATAAGCACTGCTATTGGCGATCGATCAGGAATAGCAAGTGAAAATGGCAATTTGGGCAATGCCTATTTTAGTTTAGGAGAATATCAGAAAGCCATTGACCATTACAAAACAGGTTTAGAAATAAGCACTGCTATTGGCCATCGCTCAGGAATAGCAAGAAAGCATGGTAATTTGGGCAATTCCTATCTTAGTTTAGGAGAATATAAAAAAGCCATTGACCATTACAAAACAGGTTTAGAAATAAGCACTGCTATTGGCGATCGGTCAGGAATAGCAACTAGCAATGGCAATTTGGGCATTGCATATCATGGTTTAGGAGAATATCACAAAGCCATTGACCATTACAAAACAGGTTTAGATATAAGCACTGATATTGGCGATCGGTCAGGAAGAGCAATTATCCTCAGCAATTTAGGAAATGCGCACATATATCTTGGAGAGTATGAAGTTGGAGCACCATTCTTAGTGAAGTCAATTAGTTTGCTCGATAAAATGTTTTTACATTTCGTTCCGGATCAAAATAAGCTGTCATTCACGATACAATATTTCGTGTCTCATAAACGTTTGATGAGTTGTTTCCTTTCTTTGGAACGCATTGAATCCGCATTATTAGTCATTGACCTTGGTAGGGCTAAGGAGCTCCATTGCTGCGTTGAAAAACATAAAAATTCTGTGGACAAGGACATGTTCGATTATGCAAATGTGATATGGAATAGAATCGAGGCCAGAGAAGAACAAAGAGAAATTGAAGAAATGAAAACATTGCTCCATCTAGGAGAAAATGATACCTCAGTATTAGTATTTGCTTTTGATTTGGAAGCTTTTCTTAATGTTTGGGTTTTAAATGATGAAGTTATCTTTCGAAAATTGGATGCATGTTTGGAAACATTACAGTTTCTAATTATGGAACTTCTTGGGAGGAACAAAGTTAGTGTTGTTCGGAATTCTTCGTTTTGCAACTCCGATTCCGTTGTTGATACTCACAATCAAATGATTTTTCCATTTGAAATGCCAAACGGAAAGGCACTCCCTAAAAATGCGTTTGAAAATACTGCTTGCTATAGTGATTTGAGTAATCGAGAAATTTTGGAAAAATTGTTCAAAATTTTAGTTGAACCGGTGAAAGATCTTGTTAACGGCAATCAGCTTATTGTCGTTCCTGACCGGCAATTGTTTTTTACACCGTTTTCAGCATTAATTGATGAAAATGGCTCGTATTTATCCAACAGTTACAGCGTTCAAATTACACCTTCATTGCATACCCTGAAGTGTACCATGGAACAGTCCTGTTACTCAAACTTTGGTTTTGCGTTGTGTGTTGGTGATCCAACCTATGACTTGCCTTACGCCGCTGAAGAAGTTAAATATGTGTCAAAGCTTTTCCAAACTAGGCCTTTTTTGGGACACGAAGCAAGAAAAGAGGTAGTATTGCAACTTCTAAGTGGCGCTAGTATAATCCATATCGCTGCCCATGGCGAACCAAATCGAGGTGAAATAATGCTTGCGCCAAACTCATCCCATGTGCAACCATGTTTGGCTGTTCCCGAACCAGAGTCATATTTTCTCACACAGCGAGATATTCTAAATATCCCTGTGCAAGCTCGCTTGGTAGTTCTATGCTGTTGCCATACCCGGCAAGGTGAAATTACTTCAGAAGGTGTCATAGGTATTACTCGAGCTTTTCTTGCCGCCGGAGCGCGCTGTGTTCTTGCTACACTGTGGCCGATTGACGATAGCGCCACAAAAGAGTTTATGGAAAAATTCTATTGGGAACTTTGCCAAGAAACAAGAGTTTGTGAAGCTTTAAGAAGAACAGTGAACCTCTTTCAGAAACATGAAATAGGAGCTTACCGATCCAGTAGCATGTGGGCTCCATTTACTATCTATGGAGAAGACGCGAAGTTCCGTAAGAATGAGATTAAGCAAATCAGAGAAAAATCTCGTAAGATGTTTTCTGATTTCGTAGTGCTTTAATATTATTAAAATGACGTCGTCCTTTTTAGTTGTATTCCAAGCAAAAGCTAAAATAGTATTACCATGTAGTGGAATGGACTACTGACTGAGAATGCTCCTATTTAAAGCCTTTTTCTGCCGCTCAAATTGCTTCGAGCGTTTAAAAGGATATTTATGTTTTAAAGGTTTATAATTATATTTTGAAATTATAATCGACTTTCTTGAAGATAACGTTTGGTTTGATTAGAGTGGCTTACCAGTTGTTGATGATCTTGTTGTGCGGAAACGTTCTCATCGCTATCATTCCACGTTTCTGTAATTGTTACTTTGGTAAAAAATATTATTTAAAGAGAATATTAATTTTCAACTTGGGTTGTGTGCTTGATGATGGTTAAAATAAGATTTGGGGAAAACAACACCGTGAAATTGCCAAAATTGTTGGTTGTCAGGAAAGCATTAAAAAGTGTATAGTTAGCTTTAGATTTTTAGAATTGTGTTCCCGTTTGTGAAGGAGGAATATCATGATACTAAAGTTGTCAAGTTGCTGCAGTTGATACTTTCAGGGAAATGGTTGGAGAAATTGTTGTAACTAATGTGATGGTGTTCAGAATCATGAGTGCATCATTGTCAAGCGCAAAATTTGATTATGCGATAGACAGCTTATCTAGTTGCTGTAGTGCTTACATTAGAAAAGTAGTAGAGGAAATATAGTTTAGCTTTGAGTCTGTTCTTTGTTCGTTGTCGAGTATCTGTGATAGCAGTATATATCCAAATTTAAGGTAATCCAAATTTGACATGTTATTGCACATAGGTATGTATTAAGATTATACGGAATCTGATTTACTTTGTTCAAGCTTGAATATCGGTCTTTTGGCTGTGATGTGAACCTTTTTTGTTTCGTTGCGTTAAAAAAATTGCCAAATGCTTTCCGATTTAAAGTGATCAGACGAAATCTCATTTTCCCGCCATTGTGAATTTGAATAATTTTAAAGAAATGCTGCTCGCCTATTTATTTCTGCAAACCTTTGAGTGGTAACTGAATAACGGCGTAACAAAGATGTAACAAAATTTTACAACTAAAACATTGCTTTGTTGTAAATTTGGCAGCAGTGAATGAAATGTAAGCTAAAAAGTTTAGTATGGTTTGCAGCAACGAAAGTGTGGTCACATATGTTGGGTTACATTTGTTGGGAATTTTAAATTCGTCTCTGTCTCCAATATTTGGCAACCCAACCTAAAGAGCGGCCTAATAATACCAGTGATTAATCAGTGATTATAAAATACAAATTGAAATAATATTTTAAGTGTTTCTTGTTTTGCTATCCAGCGATATTCTTGTGCTAGGCCTGTTTCAGTAGCCATGTATATCTATTTTTGTGATATAACAGAGTGTTTGCTGGCTGCTTATGTTAAAACTGGTTGGTAAAAACAACACTATTGCAACAGGGCTGATGCAAGTTTGTTTCAAACTGAAGAAGCCTTTTTAGTGCAAATGGTTTACATTCACTATTTTCTTTTTGGATCAAGCTAACGACTGAGAATTTCTAATGGATCTAATCCCTCGAAGAAATAAAACAAATGTTTTGCAAGCGTTTGAAATTGGGGGTAAAGATGCCTATATATTTGCCGATTCATGCATGCAGTACTCGGAAATTTCAGGCTAACGTCGTATAGTCAACATGTCGCAGATATAACAAAGGTATTTTCATAGATTATTTTCTCAAAAATATCTTTGTTATATGTTCTCAAAGGCAATGTTTGAAAACGCTCTATCTTGGCATAAGCTAATAATATGCATATGAGAAGAACTTTTTCAACAAATTTTTTTTTTAATAAAATAAAATAAAATAACATAAAGGAAAATGTACTTATTTTTTCCAAGGTAGATAATTTATTGTACAAGTTTGTTAGAACTTAGTTAAAAGATTGAAACAGGATACATTTGAACGTGTAACAGAATAAATATGTTTATATATGTGACACAGACCAGTATTGAGTTCTGTATTTGTAAAAAAAATCTAATTGAACTATAAACAGCATTCTGCAACGTGGATGAACATCGATGATTGCAAGAATCATGAAGCAAGCGATATGGCAAAAACAAAACCTCAGTAAATACTTTCACCTAATCACTATCTGGAACACAATCTTGAAATAGAGACAAGATGCATTTGGACTTTAAATTACGAAAGCTTATTTTTCCACTTTGTGATACTGCTCGAAAAATGTCGTTGTCGAAAATGACGTTGAATTTCAACCACCATTTTGCGACGTAGTCCAGCACTGATGAAGGCAACCATTATAATACTATGAATAACTGCCAACCTTTTGCTCCTGCCTTAACCTGGACGGCGGAACAGTAGCCTACGTATTTTTCACTCGTACGTACTCTGAGTAAACAAACAAATGGGGAAAATGGATTAATGGCTAATATACAAATTATAAAAATTAACACCTTCAGCTGACTATTTCCAAATGAGTATATTTGTGTGATACCATTCTCGTTCACTAGGAATTGCGAAATCGTTAAATCCAATTACATTACACAGACGTATATCATTGCAAAGGCAAAATTCTGTACGCTCCAGTCGAGGATTAATCCAGTATTGAAAGACTAAATGTGAGTTAACTGCTGTATTCGTTGGAGAAATAAAAACACCACAAGGATCAGTGTTGGTTCCTGATTACAAGTTCAACCAAGCAAATGCAAATATTTACTTTATGGAAAGAGTTAAAGATTTATTGCGGTGTAACAGTTGTGATTAATGGCACTAACGAAATAATTTGTGCTGGTTTGAAATATTGAAAATGAAACTTTTGTTCCCAGAGTGTCAAACGTTGCCATATTAGGGTGCTTCAAAAGTTTGGAAAGACATTCTTGTAACAAAACCGTTTAGGAATCCGTGGAGGCGTAGTTAACTCTTCTTGAGTTTATCATGGGAGCTTTAATTAAAAATATATTGGATGATCGGCTGAGTTGAAAACAATCATTCATATGTATGACTATCTACACACGAGTGTGGTTCAATTGCGGTGTTGTTTGTACACATGAAAAAAAGAAATTTGTCAACGCAAACCTGATATCAGACAAACTAAAATTAAGATTCTGCAAAAAATCTACGAAAAGAATTGTTATGGTCCACAAGGTAGTACAGGGACGTTATCGGAATGTTGGTAAAGGTAGATAATTAACATTATCAACAGATTGAAATTTGTTCATCCTAGACATAGGCTTAAATTTTAGAAATATTTCCTAACTTTCCTAGTAATATGTCGTTTAACATTCCACCATTTTATTGACCTCTTTTCTTAAATAATAATATACGATAAAGTGTGAGAGATGTTAGAATTTTCTAGAGCTGCGCAAGCTTTAAGATTTCTTGTAAATCAAATTGTTGGTAGCAATTTTGTTAAAAATCGTTGCCATCTTCAAAGATGCATGTATCAACAACTTTCAACCAAAGTTATAGTGTTTCAAATTTAAAATCTTGTGTCCGTTCATCCTTCCTTCGTCTCGCACCCTGGCCCGTAGCTGGGGGGGGCCTGGGTGGGGCAGTGCCCCCCCCCCACTCGGAAATAAAATCGAAATTATGCCCGCCCCTTTACGTTTTGCGGAACTAATAGCTATTAATGTAATTTTTGGGGGGACTAAGTACCGAAATGTGGTATGAAAAATTGAGATAAAGGACCTGGAAACCAATTGCAATCATGGGACAAATTCTGTAAATTTTGTGGTTAAGTGATGTTTTGAAAATATTTGTTAGGTTTCGGCAAAATTTTGGTTTGTGGGGGGGGGGGGAGGTCGCCAAAATAAATTCCGGAAAACATTTTTCTCATCTCAAACCCTCAGATTCTTTCAGCAGTGCCCCCCCCCCCAGAAATTGAGAGCCAACTACGGGCTTGCTCGCACCCCTGATGTTCTGAGGCCTCTCCAACTATATCAGCCTAGTCCCAGGCTCTCTCTCTAATCGCTGCTTTGATGTATTTAAATAAATCTTAAAAGTTTTATGCCTGGGTGTGCTGTGCGGAACGCTTCAGCGAGAGAGCCTAGCAGATTTCGGTAAAATGGTCCCTGATTTCAAAAAAGTGGTCCCTGGCCTGGTTACCAAGCATACCGCATTTGTAAATAGAAAATGTTATGGAAATTTCCTTTGCGTTTATAATTATAAGTCATTATTAGTTTTGCTCTAATGCTGTCGGAACAATGGAATAGGCTACGTTTCACTAGCATACGGTCATAATGGAATAACGGGCTAAATATGACTCGTGTTTACTAAAATATAAAGCCATATTAAATGCTATCTACTGTAGAAGCTTGAAAATTATGGCGAGTCTCCGACTAAAAATGTTTTGACAACACAGTCATGTCAGGCAAATATTTCCAATCTCATCAGCTACTTAAACCTGTCAAGTAGAAAGCGTAGTTGTGTATACCAGTATGGTCTAGTATTGATCACAACTTGCGAGTATATAAATAACATCAACGATTATACGACCATTGCTCAGAATCAGTATTGTAAATTTGTATATATATTTTTTAATTGAGCACATTTTTAATACAGTTTGAATATGGTTATGTAGACATCGAACATGATCAACGAACATTGTCGTATTTACAAGGTTATTTTTATATATAAATTTTCCGCCATATTAAAAATACTGAAATCTGCTAGGCGTTAGTAAGTTCCCCATCCAGCGATGGAAGTGATTCAAGCGAATGACGTCAACAGGTGGTGTACGTCCGGGCGTTCGTACTTAGTGTACGTACTTAGCGTTCGTACTTAGCGTGTGTCCAAGCGTTCGTACTTAGCGTTCGTACTTAGTGTACGTCCGAGCGTTCGTACTTTAATAGTGCTTAAATTTAATGTGTAAACGTGTGTATATTATGCCCTTACGATACTTATGCGAGCTTCGAATAATAATGAGGTATAATTCCCGAGAAAATAGAGGACAGCAGTTTGTTTTATTCAAGTTCACATGGTATTACGACAATTTAAATGTTTCATCCAAAAAGAAAGCCAACTCAACTTATTTATTCTTATAATCAACTTTCTACTAGCATGAGTACAATGATTAATCATCAGAAAGTTTATTCTTCAAATATTCCGCATATGTTTTACGATGACTCTCTTTGCGCGAACAATTTTGTACGTACAGGACCCGTGCGTACTGCTTTGTACGAACAGAGCCGTACGTACGCTTTGTAGTGCGTACGCTTTATTGCACGAATAATTAGTACTTAGGACACTGTGCGTGAGACACTTTTATGTGTAAACGTTTAATATATTGTGTATAGTGTTATACATTGTTTATTGATGTAAGGTTGTTACTTTAAGAAATAAATTAAAGCATAATTTTGTGTATTAGTTTATGCGTGAATTAGATTGTCGTGGAACTCTGAAAGGGAGTCTATGTATATTCTTCTGGACGAAGTTACACGTTCTCTTGTCTTTGTCGTTGAGCTCGTTGCAGTGTAAGCCAATATCGAAAAAGAACGACGAGGCTTCAGAGTCTCCGACCTTTATGACTCCCAACTCCTTACAGAAAAATTTATTTCCAGTTTGAAATCCGTCCATGTCAAGGATCCCAACGATGTCTGCTTTACACTGCATGTTGACTGATTGTTTGTGTTGTGAATTAGATTGTTCGAAACACTAATCTGCGTTCTTGCGTGCGATATAACTATCGCGTGTACAAAACGTTAATCCATGTGTTAATTTATGCATGCAGTCAACCAACGCGGTAGCTTTGGCAACAATAATTTGCTCTTAAAATCAGTGCGATTTATATAGGGACACTCTCAAAGTGTCCTGCAAGCAAGTCCCGGGCGTCCCATGCGTATGAGCACATGCTCATAAGTGCTCATGAGCACATGCTCATCTGCTCATAAAACTGCAATACTGCTCAATAGCAAGGCATTTCTGCACAGTCAGTGCTAACGGAATGAGCTGCCAATTTTGCGGAAAGCAATTTAATCGTGGTTACAATCTACGAAGACACGAAAAGGAATACTGTCCCCTAGGTGCACAAGAAAGAAACATGTCTCAAACGGACTTGGATAGCCAGGAAAGGGATTTTCAAGACGACGTTTCGATAACTTCAACTGAAGTGTCTGAAATTTCGACGATGACTGATAATGAGTCGGAAACTGAAGAGGAAATGGATCCTTGGATACCGTTAATAGAAGAAGCAAAGCAAATAAGTAATATAGCATTTGAGGAAACGAAAGAAAGCCTTATCAACAGTGGTCTAGATGAACAATCCGCTAAGGACAAAGCTTACTCTAATATTCTTCCTAAACTCCAGAAGGAACTGGAAAATATTTGTATGGAGCGTCTCGTGTGGATGAAACAGCTAAAGAAAGATCCAGTTCATAAGAAGATTATGCACACAAAAAATGCACTTGTGGAAAACGATGATTTTGATCCAGAAGAAGCGTTAGAAGCAGCTGTTGATATGAGAAAGTTTCTTATAAAAAGGCTTTTAAAGGGTCACAAATTTGATGAGGAGAATGATGATGAATGATGATGAAGAGAATGATGATGATTAGACTCGATTAATAGGATTGAAGTCATGTATTCGAACAGTATTAGCACGTAAAAACATACCAGTATAGACCCAGCATGTAAATTGTGAGTCATTCAATAAATTGCTTTTTAATTACTTGTCTTTTCGTGTCATTTTACATGGGTCAGGCGGGTGCAAATCAAAATGGCAAAAACATGCGAATACGAAAATGTATACATTTGTGTACATAAACTTTGCAGTGGCTTCCACGAAAAATGTACACCCAGTCTTCGGGCCTAAACGGGTCTTATGAGCAGATGAGCATGTGCTCATGAGCAGTTATGAGCAGGTGCTCACACGTTCATGCAGGATGAGCATGTGAGCATGTGCTCATGAGCAACTATGAGCATGACGCTCATCGCATAAGATTGTATACCCGACATGATTTTGAAAATCTAACAGCGCAAGATGCCTTTGCGTCACTCAGATAAATACGTCTTTCTTCACTTGATAGATGGTGAATGTCTGCCAAATGATTTGATAATTTGCAAAGGTTTTTCTTTCCGCACAGCAGACAGTCTTTACGCGTTTGCGGCATCGAGCGAAATTATTCCTTTTATCAAACGGGACGCAGGGACATTGCTACGGGACGCCCGGGACTTGCTTGCGGGACACTTTGAGAGGTGTCCCTATATGCGGGACGCACGGGACGTCCTTACGGGACGCATTTTAACGTGTCCTTGCGTCCCGTAAGACTGTTATTATGGCTAGACCCATATAGGTTACATAAAACGAAATCAAACGCCATGAACACATTGTTCTATTTACCAGTTTGACATAAGTAGCGTAAGGATTAAACTATAGATTGGTATCACTGAATACGTCACTAACATACTGAAATTATTTAAATCAGTGTGAACATAAATTTGCAAACGAAAATGTATTTAAAGTGATCGAAGCTGTCAAATGGTTTACATCACTTAAAACGAAACCAAACGCCATGCAGTAGTCTATTTCGTGACTGTGCTCGTGAACGGTTGGTTTAAAAGAAAACGTGAAGAAAATTATGGCACACTTGTTCAGACAAATGTATGTGGATGAAATTGACTATGAGTTGTTCACTCCTGAAAAACTTACCGATTTCGTGTTTACGGAGATCGTATACCGTCAAATTCAGAAACTGGAAGAGGAGACACGCATAAATCAAGATGAAATTGATGGTAATCAATGGTCTTGGTTTGGACAGCGGATTGAAGGTTTAGATGAAGAAGAGCGCTGGATGAATTACGTTGAACAGGCTCTGGCAATGGTGAATCATGAAGTGATGTGGCAAGCAATCGTTGAAGCATGCAAGATGTTAAAGTATCCTGAACCATCAGAAACACAAAGAGATTATTTTGAAAAACTTTTTGACATATCATGTTTTGTTTGGCATCAAATATATTCTGAGTTCGAAAGAACTGTTCCTCTAAACAATCTCATGGACTACATTAGCTGTGTTTGTAAATTAAAATACAATTCAACCATGTAATGTATTCAAGAAATATATCATTTTAAAACGTATTGTGTTGTTGGCTTTTTCTTTATTCCGTGCTGTTACTTGCAGTACCAGTATCTATTTTAACCATGGACACTTGTTATAGAAGAACTGATGATAAAGTCAAGAAAAACAAGGATCATAATAGACAGAAAATGTTCAC